GGGAGCTTCTCTTCCATAATTGAGTCCTTCCAGGGTAAGATAGAGTTTCTTTAACCAACTGATTTGCATATAATTATAGGTAGGTATAGTGTTTATAGAAGCAGTGCAAAGTGTTGTCTTGATCTGGTAGATGGGGTATTTTTGTGTCTTTTTTGTGTTTTTATCCTGTCCTTTGGTTATCGTTAGATCCCATCAACCGTAGCCCCTTCAGACACCTCATGAAATTTACACAACATAGTTTTCCTCATTACAGGGTTTTCCCTCAATATTTTCCTTTTGGAGTCCCTAAGACTCCTTTAATCAAAGGTTGAGGGTCCCAGAGGGAACAGTGGGAGTCCTAAGGTTAGCATTGTTTCAAATTCCAGGAAATCTTTGAAACATTTTCGGGTTTCTTGTAAAAAACAGAAGCATCACTACAATCTTTCGCTAGGCTTTTGTACATTATGCTTTTGCTTCCCTACTAAAATGCTCCACCTTAATGCTCCATTTTTCCCACTAAAATGCTCGGTCTCTCCAAAAAAGTCACTAAAATGCTCGGATAATGCTCATTATAAAAACGGTTTTTTAAATTAATTTCAAAGTTTACGCTTACAAAAACGTTCAAGTGCTGCAAGTAACAACGACAACGTGTACAAGTTCATAAATACAGCCAAAAAAACCAGCTTTATGAGGTTTTTTGTGAATTTTGAATTTTAGTCTTCATTTTGTTTAAAAAAGCAGGAGCTCATGGGGCATGGGCTGCTGAAAAAAGTTAATTTCTATTTTATTTTCTCGGAAAAATTAATTTTCTGGGCAAAAGGCCACTAAAATGCTCGAATAATGCTCAATGCTTTTGCCTCACTAAAATGCTCGAAAAAATGCTAGCATAATGTACAAAAGCCTACCTTTCGCAGCCTAAAGTTCCATTATTGGAATTTATCAGCAACATGTTGTTCTTAGTCATAAGATACACTTTTTTATGCTGAACAATGTGCCTCCTTGTAATTTCCAGGGTTTGATTCTCGATGTTTGTCTTTGCATTTGAAACTGTCGCTTGAAAGCTTTTTCTAAGCTTGAGGTCACTGATACTCAAAATGTGATCTGTAGAATTTGGTGCCTTTCCAGGGCCAACTTCTGAAGATTTTATAAGCTTACTGTTGGTTGACTTTGCAGATCTAAACTAATTATTAGTAAACTATCGCTCTAGAACATGTGCGTCCTAGAGGACCAGTTCTCTTTGGTGTTTTGCGTCCTTTTTTTCTTTTTCGGCTAAACAACGCGTCTCTGACGCGTATTTGCGCGATAGTTGCGCGTATGGGAAAACCCTGTCATTATGTATTAGGGTTAAGCACTGCCTTTTACAGATTAGGGTTAAGCACTGCCTTTACTGATTAGGGTTAAGCACTGCCTTTACTGATTAGGGTTAAGCACTGTTTCAAAACTGATTAGGTTCTTTTTTTGGGTTGGGGTTGATGCTCTATGTGCTTTAATTATTTCCTTTCCATCCATCAAATCCGCAGTGGTCTAGTGGTTAGCTTGGTATACTAGGTTTTCTAGGTCGTGGGTTAAAATCCTACCGCTCCTCATGTCAAAATTTTTTCTTTCAAATTGAAGAGACTTGCACTTTCATGAACATTTCCAGCTTGAAATATCATCTAAGTGTTATATAAAAGCAGAAAACAGTCCTACCTTGTGTAAATTTCATAAGGGGAGAAAGGGACTATGGCCGATGGGATCTAATGCTGACCCTGTCCTTTAGAGTGTACTTTTGTTATTTACCTACCCATACACACCTTTTGGAACTTTTATGGGGAATGAGGATTTTCAAAGGGGGAGGATCAAACAGAGAAAGGGGATAGCAAACACATTGCCAAAGGGGAGGTGGGCAGGGAAAAAAGTTCTTATTGCACCATAATTCCCAGTCACCTGGCAAAAGACACTAAAAAAGATCATTTTGCCTGTATCTCTATAGACACTGATGACATTCTGAGGTGTTTTAGAAATACCAGCTTTTTTGCATGTGTGCTTACTAAATTTGTGGAATAATGATTGGAGACTGAAAATTGTGTCTTTGTTCCAACAGCTCCCATGCAATGGAAAATGCTAATGAGGTAATTGAGGTCCTTTACACAAAGGAAGAGCTGATGATTGAATCTACAGGCAAAGAACCCATTACAATGCCCGTGAATCCTTTCACCCTTTTAGTTCAGGATGTGAAAGATTTCATTGAACAGAACTTGAATATTCCAGTGTCACAGCAGTATCTTCGTTTCAATGGGCAAAATGTGGAGGAGATCGATTTAGTTTATGATTTGTTCATAAAGTCAAAAGGGTCACCAAAAATTAAAGTGGACAAGGACAGAGAGATTGAGATCAATGTTTCTTTAAGTCCAGATGCAGAACCAAAAAAAGTTACCATAAATTGGTTTGCAACAGTGGATGAGCTCAAGGAAAAGCTGATGCAGCAATACGACCTTGACACCATCAACACAATTCAGTTGGATGGTGTTAGTATAAATGAAGAAAGAAGGAAAAGGTTGATTGATTTTAACCTCAAGCCAACAAAATCAAAGTTTACAGTACGTTCAGCGACTACCCCTAAGAGCACTCTCAGGGGATTTTCTACCAATGATTTTGGGTAAGATGAGCTTTTTCACTTCTAGTTTGTGTTGTAATAACTAGTGTAGGCAAGTGTTAACTTCAGACATTAATCTTTACATAGAATACATAATTGCCTCCCACACAGAAACTTTATTCAAGAATTATAGCACAATTCTCGTAGGCTGCTGGTAGCGTAGGCTAGGGACGTCTCTAGGATTTTTAAAAGGGGGGCACACCGTATCACACCCAAGGTACTATCTACATTGTCAAGTTTACAACCCTGCTGTGTTTTACTAAAAGTGAAATGAGCCGCAGAACAGAAGTGTCTGTATTTTGATAATAAACTTACTAGCATATTATCACAAATTCTGCAAGCTGATTGGCCAATGACTCTCGAGTTAGGGGCCGACCATTTGACTTTTGACAAAGCAAATGGGTTATTTGGTTTGGGTAAGAATTTTTTTCCTGCCATACAACGGTGTGAGATTTTTTTTCAGCATTATAAGCCATGAAATATATTTTTTTCAGTGTAGGTATTTCTTTCCTTGCAAGACTTTTTTTTCCCTCGAAATCAATCTGCAGGATATTTTTTTCTGAAATTACCCATGCCCCCCTCAAACGTCAAATGGTAGGCCCATTATGGATATGACCTAAGATATAACCTCAGAAAGCAGAAGTAAAGTGGTCACTTTTGCAGTGTACTTATAAAGTTTTATTATCTATTTTCTTCCCCCCCAAAGGTCCCGTACAAGAGGATTTGGCTGTGGGCGTACAAGAGGATTTGGTTCCGAACCAAGTTCCAGTTTTAAATCACGATATCGCGGGATTGATGATCTTCCAGGTATTAAACATTTATCCATAACCAAAAGACTGACTGTTGTTTGAACACCAAAATGATTTCCTTCCTTGTGGAACGCTTTGAGATGCAGTGAAGCTCTGTAAACGGACATTCTCGTAGGCGGACAGCATTACTTACGGCCGCCTTCACAAAATCCTGCTTTTCTCAACTCCCAATCAAACTCTGTATTTTTACATTCCCGCAAGCAGGCAGCTCGAGTTACGAGCACCTTTCTCACGTCCCGAGGGTGTCCGCGCGCCCCGAGGGTATCCTCTCATGAGAGCTTTCACTATATACAGCTATTGTGAGAAAGGTTGTCGGTTTTGAGTTCGCTGTTCTTCAAAGAAATTTGAAAGAATGGCTCGAGAGGCCATGGACTTATGTTTGCGCGTGGTAAAGGAAAGCAATAAAAGAAGTTTTGACAGCTACAGTGTCTGGAACAGTGTATTGATCATATCCCATATTACCTTTCGGGATCGTCGCGTACACATTTTTGCTGACAACCTCTCTCGAAATAGCTGTATGTTTGAGAAGAGAATTTGCATTAAAACTGGCTTGGTGGTTTACGGTGAAGTATGTATTCAAGATTTATAGAAGAAACCGACTAGAGTTCTAGCATAAAATTCTCCAATCTGTTTGGCTTCATATTGTTCATAACTAGTTTGATACATATTTCTTGAGTGAGTGAGCTGGCATTTAAGAAGCAAAACTAAACAAATTGTTTTCGAACATGTAAAAGCCGCAATTAGCCCAGTGCTTATAAGCGACAGTTTACCGTACCTTAGGTTCATGACCGAGGAATTTATCTGTGTGTCAAAAAATTGAATTAGTTTCGCGATGGCAGGATATTCTGCGCCTCCGTCACGTTTGGAGTTACAACAAGATAACAGTTTAGATATGAATTATCACTTTTTTGTTAATAGGACTAAGCACGTTACGCGCTGGAACTGAAGGGATACAACACGATAGTGCAGCGGCTGGCAACAGGGTAAAACCGACTTATTTTATTCCATTTAGCATTTTTTTTCTTCTCGTATTGGTTCTTTGTAAAACTGCATAATTTTAAGCAAACAGTGAGTTGCGTTATGTATTTCTGCTTAAGCTTTAATTAGCAATAAATGAATTTGGCTTTCGTAGGATACGAAGAATTAAGCAGATCGAGGAGGGTGTTATCGGCCGAGGTGGATAACACCCTCCGAGATCTGGTTAATTCTTCATATCCTACTCAGCCTCATTCATTAATTGCCAAGTATTAAGTAGTAGTATGTAAGCTTTAAGTTTTATATTGTGTTGTTCCAGCCTGAAATGGCTAATTATGGCAGTACTGATGTTTTACTTTCTTGGCACTTGACACACAGCTTTTCACTCTATTTTCTTTTAAATCGTTACGCCCTCTGATTATGTAAACAATCTCACCCCACATTGTCAGCCAATCAAAACTGAAACTAATACTTACCCGCCGACTTTTTTTCCCGCGCTTATATGGCTACGTTGTTACACCACGTGATTGGCTAAAACAATCTCCCCCCATGCCACTTTGTCAGCCAATCAAAACTGAAACCAGTACTAGCTCGAACACTTTTCTCCCGCGCTTGGACCGACTGCGTTGTTACATCATGTGACTGGCTAAAACAATCTCGCCCCACTTTGCCAGACACGTTATTATTATTATTGTTATCATTAATCGGAAGTGAAACGTATGCTATCTTGCACGCTTTTCCAGTTCTTTTCCTGGCCACGTTGGATTGATAGCTCTGATTTTGGTTCACTTAATTACGTGCCCGTGTGGTGGTTGGCCATTTTATTGCAAGACTAATGATTGAGAAACCTAAGTCCATTAATTTGTTTTTCATTTGTTTTTCGTTTTGTTGTTGTTGTTGTTGATGTTGTTTAAGTAGCCTTGCCAGGGGCAGAATTTTGAGTTTATGCACTCTGGGTGTAAGTTAAGTGCCGACTCTGTGTCGCAGTTGAGGTCTATTAATCTTTTGTTTCATTTTTCTGCATAATTTTTACATTTTAGTTGAAGACTTCGACCCCGAACTCAAGTCGTTGTTTTAGTGACACCCTTGCACTCTAATTACTTGCATTCTTCTGAAACTTTTCACTTGTAAAGTAAGCGCTTGCATATGCTTTGATTTTACTGATATTTTTCTTGAATCCACACTTCTCCACTCTTACGTTGGCATTACAGGTATGAGCCAGCCTTGTATTATGATTATTTACTGACGATGAATCTCTCTCTTTTTCTTTTTTTCTATCCATTCTAGGAGGGCGTAGTCATGCTTTATGGCACGGAAAAGAGTGTGTTGGAGAAATTTCAACTTGACAAGGAGGAATGGAAATTTTCAAAAGAAAAAGCAGTTACTCTTACGATTCAACTCATAGACCAAAGGTACTTTAAACTTGCCACACCTGCAAAGATCATTCTGTATATCAAATAAAGCTCTTTCAATCTGTACTCATAACACAACTACAACGTCACAGGCGTAGCCTCCAACGCAGACGTTCTTTTGGATCGTTACGCAGGAACGCGTGACGAACCCCTAAGAACGTCTGCGTGGGAGGCTAAAACAGGCACAGAAAAAATGCAGTTGTTCCTTTTGATTTTGTAGCTGAAATAATAAGGAAAGCTCCTGGGTAGCGCTTTCCGATAGTGCTTTTTCATAATGCTATGGGTTGTTTCTTTTGAGACGGTGGGCAGAGCGAAGTCTTATCAAGTGCGTTGGTCTTCACATTTAAACTTTCCCTAGCTTGGGACCAAGCTCCGCTGTGGGGAAAAATGGCAGAAAATGAATTAAAACGGCATAAAAATTGGCGACCGAAGTGAGCCGAGCGGTGGTCTGGGGAGGGGGAGAGGGCGGCCGTCGCTCCCCTTTCCCGTTTGCCCTCCCCTGACTACCGCTCGGCTCGCTTCGCTCGCAGATTTTACTTTTCACCTTTTTCCCAACTGCGAAGCCTTGCCATGAGGCTTGGGGATGGGGTGCGGATGTTATGTTTCTTCTCTTAACATGAAACTCAGCTCCAATAACTTCTTTTGCTAATCAAGGTGCGAGTGTCATGTTGTTTACTGACAAATAACAGAATTTCATTTCATTTAGCATAGACTGCTCACAGTCCCCTAATTTTCCGTAAGATCGTCGAGTTGAGCGCTCTGCGTTACAGGTGGCCATCTTGGCTGGGTGTCAAATCTACTTAGGGGGCGGGGGACGGTTTGGGAGGAGGCGCTATAAACCGCAATAAACCACGACGCCCGCGCCCTCAGTACATATGAAACTAAGATGGGCGCCCTTACGGGTAAGCACTCAATCCTGATGATCTTACGAGCAAATAGGGGACTGTGCTTGGAATGCTAATGTACGCCGAGCGCGATTACAGTGGAAAAAGTAAATAAGAACATTACAAAGAAATCTGGCCATCATATTCATTGTCCCAGCGTTTTTATTCACCCCTTTATATATCATAGTACCGCTGAGACGTTCTTAGGGCTTCATCACGTGCTCCCCAGAACATCTGCGTGGGAGACTAATATACCCTTGGTTTCTGCAAACTGACTCCTTCTTTTCTTTTATTGCAGCACGGAAGGAGTTTCAGGTCCTTCTCCGTCCTATATGGCTACAGGAATTCATAACCCAGGAGATCCAAGAAATCCAATGTCAACTCGCTACCCACCCCCGGTATCAGAATAAGCATTTGAGTCCTTTGGTGCGGAGGTGCGGAGGTGGGCGGGGAAATGGTGGATTTCAAAATGAAGTCTGTGTTGTAACAAAAATTAGGAAAACTTGATGTAGACGTAGCTGCATTGTTGTAAAAGAGAATTGCAGTCATTCTTATCACTGGTTTATCGCGGTTGCACTAGCAAACAAAGAGTGAAACTGTTTTTGTTCAAACCAGTTAGGTCTTGTTACTAGTTAAGTACACGCAGGAAAGGAAGGAAAATCCTGTGCTTTTGTTTAGCTTAGACATACAGCACGGTTTCACTCCTATTTTAGCCAGAACGTCTGCGTGGAAGGCCACTCCTATCACTGCTGGCCAAAATGAAAGTGCACAAAAATTCCCAAATTCGTTTTTGTAAACCCCCGCAA